ATTACTACTGGGTTATTTCATACAAAGTAAAATAAATCTGACACTAAAATGGTTGAAAACCTTCCAATCAAAACAAAATTTTTTTTTTTGTAATGCATCTATGAAACAAATGACCAAAGAACCTACCATTTAATAATCTCTGGTCCTAATTGGCTGATGCAAGAACTTGAGGAGGACTAAAGGAAAAAAAAATTACTTTTATTAATTTCCTTTTATTTCATATCCACTTCATCATTCATAAAAATAGTCATCTTATTTTCATTAACATAAAAAAGTCTCTTGCTAATTTTGGATCTTCACTAAATTGATGGCTTGAGATCTAGACCAGAGACCTGTGTATATAATTATATGAGGGTTGGTTATTGTGGAGTATTACATGATAAGAAAACTGCTCATGCAAATCAGCCTGAATTTTGGAGCTATTATCAGATTTGTCCCCCTACATTTGGGAAACTGTTGTGCTTAATGCAGCTTTTTTTTTGCAATTGTCTGATTGAAATGTGGATGTAATTTGCATGAGCTCATATGGAGCTGGCTTCTGTAGTCATAATTGTGAACAGAGATAGCTGTGATAATAAAAAAACTTTTATCCCTTGGTTCCAAAAAGGAATGTCTCCTGTTCTAGTGGCATTTCTTTATGTCTACGCATGCTAAATGTTTCTTTTATGGTCTTGAATGACCTCACCACTCTCTTTCATTACTTCACCACTGTCCTGTCACTCAGTCTGTTGTTTTTACAAATACTAGTTATAAACCTTATGTCAAATGGATAGTAGTCAGATAATCTGCAGTAACTGTACACAATACTAAATACACCCACCATTTCAGCAGAGGAAGAGTGTAAGCTGACTTCTTGGGCTAGTGGTCTAAGAAAGTCCAGTACATGTTTCATAATGAATGGCATTTTCAGGCATTTACTGCCAGACTCCTTCCCCTTTTTCAGTTCGTCTGAGAGTTGAATACCTTTAATGTATCTTGTAACACATGGCAGGGCCATACCAACATACTTTGACTTCTTCTCTTGCAGCCTATGTATTGCTTACAAAAAGGAACAAAAGCAACTAAATGACTGAAGAAGAAAACTTTAAAGTAGAGGAATATGGACAAGATTGCTTTCCCAAACCTAATAACTAGCATTATGAAACCTTCTTCATCATATTTTGCATTATATTATTTTAATTACCTGTCTCAAGGGTATCCAGTAGAGTAACAAACTTGTTAAAATGGCAATCTGTCTCAGAGTCAAGCTGTTCCAACACTCCAATGCAAACTTCCTTTGCACTGCATCTCTGTCAGTTTCACACCAACAATTCAATATTTGAAATGTACATATTTATAATTGACATAAAAAAATTGCCATTGACTAAAAAAAAATATTAAAATATTTTGAGACTAATATCAACTCTAAGCATTTTTCAGCACCCACTACAATGGAGAATTTTCTTTAAAAAAAAAAAAGTGAATACAGAACACTGGTGAAAGTGCAATCCTGATATTGTGCTAAAAAGGCCAAAAATACCATATATTATTATTCTAATGAAAGGTGACTATAGTAAGAAAAATAAGTTTCATCTTCAGCTGTTAAATGAAGACAAATTAGTCATTATCATTCATTTAGTACTGTCTAACACCTTCAAATTTGTTTCATTAAGGAGAAATAGAAGCTAAATGAAGCACCAATAATTGCGTAGCTCATCTCCATTTGGTGAAAACTTAACTAGCTCACCTCAGCGATAACATGAAGAGTTTTCTTGCCTTCTTCAATGGCATCTGATTCATAGTCATCAACAATAGCTCGAGATACCACTCCAATTAGTTCCCAACCAACAAATTCAAGAGCATCCTGTATGTACACACACACACACACAAAAAAAAAAAAAAAAAAAAAAAACCCATCTACTCAGGGGTGTGACCTCTGTTGATAACAACACACTAATGATGCTTTGACAACAGGAGCAGAAGTCATCTAGATAACAGGATCAAAGATTCGACTCAAGTTTGTCAAGCTGCACTCATTTCAGGACCACCCTACCAGAAAGACTTAACAACATGGCAAAAAGGGAAAGAGTACCATATAACCCCATACATTAATTATGCATTCCAATTCTTTATCTTTCACAACAAAACTTTAAAAACAAAGTCTACTAGTCTGAATGCATAATTAATGTACGGGGTTATATGGGGTTATCTGGGGCCATTCCAGTTAAAATCCACACCCCCCTCCTATTGAAGGCTTTCCTGTAACACCCCTCCAGAAAAGAAATTTTTTAATCCCCTTCAGAATTGCCTGAAATTACCCCCTTCAGAATTTTATGTAGCTATCAAGCAAACTAATTGAACCCCCTTCAGAAACTACTCGTGAGAATTGCTGTCAAGGGTACTTTATGGCGAACCCTCTCAGAAATATGGTTCAAACCCAATAAGAAAAAATATAGCATTGGCCCCCCCTCCCCCTAAGAAATCCCAGGCCTTCAATGGGGGGGGGGTGCGGATATTAAATGGAATGGCCCATGGTACTCTTGCCGGAAAAAAAGTACTTCCTAGGCTCATCATCAGTTATTTCACAATAACAAACCCACTCTAGTGGTGGCACATTTTAAAACTTTGGGTTTGTTCCTTCTAAGGAGCAAACTTTTACTTTTAAAAAAGTCATAATTATACGAAACATTTTATGATCATGATCCTAATGTGTAATCTTTCTCACTGTCACTGGGCAAAAAATAATATTTTAAACCAGAGAAACACAATCGAATAACATCTGGAATATTTTTTATGAGAGTTTAATAAATAATTTTTATAGATTGCCAATTTGTGTCTGCAAACCTTATGCTCAGTTCGAGTTAAGCATTCCAAAAGCCGCGTCCATTTGCCATTACTAACGCATTTCTGAGTAGCTACCAAGATAAGGTGGGTATTTGGTTCCTCTGTACGCTGCAGAAAAAAATAATAATAAGCCTCCAGGGGTATTAATAGAACTTAAATGCGCGTTCCATCAAAAGCAACTCTTACAAATTGTGATAAACTTTCTTGGAGTTCTTCCACTTCACCGTCCGCCATCTTTTAAAATTTTCCTTATCTCCATCATATATCGCCATCCATCGCCATTATTATACTCCCATGATGAAACACCGCTGACTATGTAATGGCGCTGCTTGAGTCATAGTATTAATATAAACAATCGTAAGGAGGCAGTGCAGGAAAATCAAGACCACGTGAGTAGTTTATTTGGACCTTGCTTACCTGAATTATGTCTTACTGATATAGACTTCAGTTTCCTTTGGAATCTGCACATGTTTTAGGCAATGATTTGATGAAGCAACCAGAGTAAGATTCACACGTGAATACTGGTAACATTCGGAAAGAAGTGTAGAGGAGGAGATATATTTGCAATATTTGGGATCATTCCTACCTGCTTGGAAACGATTGCGTGGCAGTTGGGAATCACCTGCCAGTGGTCATAAATTTTCAGATATTGAGGGGGTAAACTGTCACGTTTACGTCAGAATGAACGTCGATGACAAAGTGGAGGAGTGATTCGTAACAGATCTCAGAGTCCATTTTGCTGCGTGTCAGTTTTTACATCGCCGACTACACCAAATTTCCATAATTTTCAACTCCCGTCTTAACGTCCAAATCGATCTTGTTGTAAGAGACACAGAAAATATCGATGTTCAAACTAGAAGAATCGAAAAAGACCATTCCTTTCGACTTCGGGAGAATTTCTCCCAGAACTAAGATTACGTCATTAGCGCAACTTCGCAAGGGCGATCATGTCATGGAAGAAAGTCCTTTGGGTTACTGGCATCACTTCATTGTGGATAAAGTAAAGCCAAAATTTGCGTGGGTCATACACAAGACTGGTGATCAAGACACTGGTTTTAGATCTCTTCGAGAAAGTGACCCCACTACCAAAGGGGAAGTTTCGAGGACTAAATTCGTTCTCGAGCCTGACCAAGTTGTTTATAGAATAGAGTACCCCCAAACGGATGAGGTAGATGGGTTTGTGGTGTTCTCCTCGGATGAGGTGGTGCGACGGGCGAGAAAGCGCTTGGGAGAACGGTATTACAACGCCTTGACAAGCAACTGCGAACACTTTTGTCGAGATTGCAAAGCAGGCAAACCTGAGAGCTACCAATCTTATGATGTTATATGGACCGTTGGAAGACTGTTGTTTGTCTTTCTGCAGGGATTACTGGGGGGAATAGTGTTCATTGTTGCTTCTACAACAGGTTTGTTAGCTCAGACATCACTGTTACTAATGGGCCATGTAGTAGGTGTTGTAGTGGGACTTGTGCAAGATGCTCTGTGGATAGCATTTGTTGTTATTACAGCTGATCTTGCTAGAACCAAAGGTCATGTGACACCTGTAGATGCTGAAAAGATCAAAGCTAAAAGAGTAACACCAATAGTGTCAGGATTTGTGGGAGGGGTGGGAGGGGCAGCCCTTGGCTACTACCACATCCCATTACCAGTAATTGGTAGTGTTCTTGGGGCAGTTATTGGAAACTTTCTCTGTCAAGCTTTGGGTCTTCTAGTTGGTAGATGGGTTTCAACCTTTTTAAAGTAACAGACCATGTTGTGTCCATGATATCACCATTATTCACCAGAATTCAGATTGGGTGGGTAGATAGATTAATGGTAATTTGTATTAAATTATGGAATTAAAGTACTTCCTTGTTAAATTATTATTATTATGAAAATGGCACTCACAAATCTGCTCTGTGGATTTTGATACTGTTCTTAGGTATCCAATTTAGAAGTGTCAGTAAAGGCATAAACAGGTTTTTTTTCCTAATTTGGTGACCTGCACTTTTAGAAGGTCTTATTGATAATGTTACAAGCTCCAATGGACAATGTTGCCATGGTAACCAAAAGGTCAGATAATTGAAACACAATATCGTATTCAGAATGGAAAGGGAAGGAGACAAACATCTTTACAGCACATCAAAAATGAAATGAGATATCTCAGGACTTTAAAAAAAAAAAAATAATAATAATAATAATAATAACTAAAAGGACTTTCATTTGACAAACAATAACAAAAAACATCTTTATTACTTATCAGAGCCATAACTTTTAAGTCATTGTTTTAATAAAACAAAAAAGATTGTCTTATATACTATAACTACTACTTAATAGTTCATGTTCATGACTTGTATTAAAACATGTGTACTACCAAGTAGAGGTAAAAAGGCACCATATTCAGAGAGAAGGGCTGATGTTTTCTCAGTGTAACTCAACACATTTTATACATTCATTTATTTATCTAATTAAAATTATTTAGCTCAGTCTCTCTGAAATGAAACTTTTGAATAGTAAATCTAACAGAAACATTTGGTTTACAAAGAAGAACCAAAGAAATTTATTTATCTTTTTACTGGGTTCACTAAATAGATATTTCTTACCTTTGAATTTACAGGCAAGAAAATTTATTTTTAAGTGGTCCTTGTACTTAATTTTTTCTAGAAGATGCCTCTTTTGTGAATTTAGGTGACCACCAAAGGCTTTCAGCCTAAACAATTAGTATTTTTGTGAACCACTCTTCAAAGAGGTTTAACCAGAGATTTGGGAGCAAGAATATTAAACAAAATTACAGTGAATGTTGTGTTGATTATTTTGGGTTTGCATCCGTTATTGCAGTGTTCTCTGTAATCCAAACAAGGTCACCAATTTCATTGCCATCAATATCATCACTACCAGATCCATCACTTTCAAGTGGGACTGCCACAGTGTAGCTGTTATGAAAATTGAAACTATTTTCTTCCTGAAACTCATCATCAGCCCCATACTCTTCCAATTTACTCCAGTCCTCGCCATTCCAACATTTGTTATTACAACCATTAGCAGAATCCCAACAGACCTCTGTATTGGCTTCTGTTTGCTTGACATTTGCATCTGTTGTAATTTCATCTGCAGCATCCCAGTTTTCAGGTTCTGTCCAGGCTGAGTCAGGTCTCTTTGATTCATACACCTCTTGCTCGTCACCACACACATCCCAACCAGTGTCACTCTCTTCACTGCTCCACTGTGATGATGACTGATGCTGCCACAGAACTCCACGCTCGTCTTCAGTAAGGCAAAACCTTGAAGAACCTTTCAGCACAGATCTAAAGTAAATATTCAATGGATGCATTTATTTGCAGACTACAAGTAGTTTGTCTTATCAGTCTCTAAATGCTGTAACAGTAGAGTCCAAACGGCACTGAATAAGAGACCAGTATATTCTAGTATCTTTAATTTGGCACCATTCAAAATTAACCAATATTGCTTGGGAGATCTAAATGTGATAGATATCACTAAGTGTGACCTTTCAAGACATGGTGAACTATGCAATGTGATGCATTTTTTTTTGTCATTTCCCACAACCAATAAGAGGACAGATAATTAAGATCATGCCAAAACATACATTTTATTTCACTGAGTTCTGAAATAACCCAGCTGCAACTCTTGAGTTTCTAGAAAGTTACAAGTTGCCAATGAGAACCTAAATCTAAGTCTATTTTATAAGAAATGCTTAATTTACAGATCACACTGTAGATAGGAGCT